ACGTGGATAACAACAACAACATTCCTGAGACTCCAGCGCTCATTAAGAAGTCAGGAAGGTGGTGGTCGATTCTTCCTCCTTCTTCCTCCTCCTCCTTCTTCCTCCTCCTCCTTCTTCCTCCTCCTCTTCCTCCTCCTCCTCTTCCTCCTCCTCCTTCTTCCTCCTCCTCCTCTTTCTCCTCCTCTTCTTCTTGGTTTAAGCTTCGTGTTGGTAGATATTATTAAGTCTTTTCTCTCTTTCTCTCTCTCACTCTCTTGTTCATCTTTCTATCTCTCTCAGTCTTCATCTCTCCTTGCTGTTGATCTTCTCTCTCTCTCTCTCATCACCCCACTCTCTCTCTCTCTCTCTCCCAGGTTGAGGTGGCAGCCGCTTTCAGCCGCCATTAATGACGCCTTATCACCACCACAACACACTGACACACTTACACCATCTAGCCGCCCCCGCCACCCACCACCACCACTTGCCCATCGCCCCCGCCACTTACACCTCCCCACCACCACCACTTACACCTACCAACTTGCCCAACGTCACCGCCACTTACACCTCTCCGTCGCCCCTCACCCCTACCACTTACACCTCCCCACCACTTAACCCCCACAACACCACAACCACTTTACGATCGTATTAAAAACTCATTAATACTTAACTCAATCAGAAAGAACTTAAGTGTTATGTTTTAGGTTTAAGTTAGGGTCCGGGTTAGGTTAAGGTTTGACTTTTGGTTTAAGTTAAGGTTAGATGATAGGGAGGTTAAATTAGGGTTAGGTTAAGTTAAAGTTACAATTAGGTTTATAGGAGGTGCGGTGGTCTAGTGGATACAATGCTCATCTCTTGTCCCCTTGGGTCATTGGTTCGAGCTTGGAGTCATGGGTGAATGGGTAATCGAGTGCGTGCAGTACCAGAGGCATTGTGTTAAGTGTGTTGTAGAATCCACGCACGCACGCACGCACACACACACACACACACACACACACACACACACACACACACACACACACACAACACATATACACACACACACACACACACACACACACACACACACACACACACACACACACACACACACACACACACACACACACACACAATCTCTTCTCAATGAAGTAACTCATATTGATTGGTTCACGACTCGATTCAGTAAAGGAGTGACATGCCATCAGGTGTTGCAAGATGAGGTGATTCACTTCTCGTGCGTCTGAAGTGCTGACTGACCTACACTAAGTGCTGACTGACCTACACTAAGTACTGCCTGACCTACACTAAGTATTGACTGACCTACACCCCCTTTCCCTTCCCTCACACAGGTAACTGGCCACAGCTGGTGTTACCTGGTGTTACGTATTTCAGGTGTTGGCAGGTGAGACAATATTAATTAAAGGTCCCCCTAGGCCTACAGAGTCACCTGACGTGTTTACATGGGGAATAATTTATTAGAGAGAGAGAGAGAGAGAGAGAGAGAGAGAGAGAGAGAGAGAGAGAGAGAGAGAGAGAGAGAGAGAGAGAGAGATATGGTAGAGACTTAACTGTTAAATAATCTCTCTCTCTCACTGTCTATATGTGAATTCCTGTGCGAGTGTTTGTGTGTACATAGGTCTGTGCATATAAGCGTCTGTGTGTATATAGGTTCATATATTCAGTGTTTGTGTATGTATGTAGATCTATGTTTGTATGTGTGTGAAGGTCTATGTATGTGAGTGTGTGTGTGTGTGTGTAGGTTTATGTGTATATGTAGGTCTGTGTGTATGTGTAAGTATGTTACCCGTTGCATAATTCATCCTAATCTTCATACGGTGAGTGTGTGTGTGTGTGTGTGTGTGGACGGGGTGCAGCGCGGTGGCAGGTGGGTGACAGTCGCATGCAGGCTGTGAGGAGGTCGCGTCTGGGGTCTGGCGGCAGCGGCCAGGTTCATCATACTTCCGGGGATGTAACGCCACTACCGCACCCTTGGCCGCAACTACCGCACCACCACCCTCACCCTCCTATACTACCGCAGCCAAGAAGATCACGATCATGAACTTACGTAAAGAAATCGACCAATTACAGTAACATTTATAAGGAGTTCAAAGTTACTTATTACACATAAACTGAGAAACTTCAAGTGTGTTCCCCTGGTAGTAAAAAGTTCACCTTATACGACACTAGTGATTTTACGCCCCCATTGACAAACTGTTTATGTCTCTTGTACACAAAATGGATTCCAAAACAGTATGGTGCCACCTTTAAACCATTAAAATTACCCCTTATGCCACTAGCTATCTTGTCAAAACTAAAAACAGAAAACGGAAAATTCTAAATAGGGAGAAAATGGAGACTCACTGATGGGTGAAGGGGAAACTGAGTTATATGATTGGCGTGATTCGGCTTCGAACTATCGGTCACATTCGACTTAACCTTCAAACCATCCCTGTTACAGACCATTAGACCACCGGTGTTACATAACTGTATGGTGTAACATATAGCCAGGTTACTGATATACTTACATACACATAACACTGCTGGTGGTGATGTGGTTGTATGGTTGAGGCGGCAACATTGACTTGGTTGCCATTCTTATACTGCCTGGGAAGATAAAATTATGAATTACAATAGAATTAAAATAGAAGCTGATTCATATTACTGTTATAAAATAAACTACTACTAATAATAATAGCATCATCATCATCATTATCACCAGGAATATACTATAACCATAATTACAATGATATTACCTAACCTAACCATAATTACAATAACCAACTTTTATCATTATTACTGTACTTCTGAACAATTACATAACGGGGGTAGCATAGCATGTGGTCAAGGCCGGCAATTACCAGACAGTTTTAAGCATCACCTTAACACCAGCCAGAGTTTTCCTGCTACAGTTACCTGAAGATCCACCTAACATAACACAACATAACACAACATAACACAACATAACACAACATAACACAACATAACTTCCTGGGAAATGTTGTAGAAGTTACTATTATAAGATGGAGTTGAAAGTGGCGTCTAAAATGACAACTAAAACCAGGGTGATTAACAGCTTACAGACAGACAGACAGACAGACAGGAGTTGAAAGTGGCGTCTAAAATGACAACTTAAACCAGGGCGATTAACAGCTTACAGACAGACAGACAGACAGACAGACGGGCAGACAGGAGGAGATGAACCAACAGTACCTCCTGACTGACAGCTGACTCTGCTGTCTAAATTAGAGTGTTGGAAGTAACGGGAAGAGGATTACTTTGCTATCTGGCCGGGCCTTACCGTCTGTCTGTCTGTCTCTCTGTTGAGTTGGTCACGGGGTGTTGACTAAACTAAGAACTTGAGGTATGTTAAGTATGCCATGGGGGTATAAGTAAAGATATACCGGTAAGAATATGTCACTTAAATACCGTATAATGTAAGTACCTCATAAAATAGATACCAAGTGGGTTAAGAAAGTATAAAAATAGAAGGTATAATTAGTAGTGTGTGTGTGTGTGTGTGTGTGTGTGTGTGTGTGTGTGTGTGTGTGTGTGTGTAAGGAGAAATTACTGATTATTAACCCCCTTCAGAAAAAAAATGACAGAGAAAATGTTTGTTTATATCATCAACTTGTCGGTCTGTTTATCAGTCTTTGTTCTCTATTATTAACAACAACATAATCAACCCCGTAATATGATTCCCTAAATACACACACACACACACACACACACACACACACACACACACACTTTTGTCAGCATAACACATAAAACAAATATCATTAAAGTGTGTAATTAACATAGAACTAAATGATAAAAGTAAACACATATAAACAATCCTCGCTTATCGTCGTCCCTGGAAAGCGAGATGAGGTAAAGCGAGATGACGTAAAGCAAGACGAAGTAAAGCGAGAGGACGTTAAGCGAGACGACGTTAAGCGAGACGACGTTAAGCGAGACGACGTTAAGCGAGACGACGTAAAGCGAGATGACGTTAAGCGAGATGACGTAAAGCGAGAGAACGTTAAGCGAGAGGACGTTAAGCGAGACGACGTTAAGCGAGATGACGTTAAGCGAGACGACGTAAAGCGAGATGACGTTAAGCGAGACGACGTAAAGCGAGACGACGTTAAGCGAGACAAAGTTAAGCGAGATGACTTTAAGCAAGACTACGTAGAGCAAGACGACGTAAAGCGAGACGACGTAGAGCGAGACGACGGAAAGAGACACGACATTAAGGGAGATGGAGCTAAGAGAGACGAAGTAAAGAGAAAACGACATTAAAAGACACAAAATTTTTCACTTGTTCTTCTCGCCTTCAGAAACTCAATGGCGAATAACAGAAGGCATTTTGATCGCCAATTTCACTAACTCGCCCGTGATGAAAGATGAGTGAGTTAATGGTGGATACTTAAGTCAAATGGGCCGCTTGTTAGTACTCTCAGCAGGATGATTGGTGGGTAGTTGGACCATCAGAGGAGTAGTCTGGAGAGAGAGGAGGGGGGAGGGGGAGGGGGCTGAAATTTTACGTTTTGCAGAGTAATTTGGGGGACATGGATAACGGTGTATGTTTATGTGCGTTTGTGTGTGTGTGTGTGTGTGTGTGTGCGTGTTTTATTCAATTTTTATTATTTTAAATGTTTTTATTTGTAATTTTCTTGTTTTTGTTTTGTTTTTTTGTTCGTTTGTTATTGTCTCAGAGCACACTTCCGGTTCTCAGGTGCCCTCTTACGTCGCTAACAGGTGCATGTGTGTTGGCAATTCATTCTAGTGCACATATGTTGCTACGAACGACCGCTTCCGTGTCTCTCTGTGTAGCCAATGGTGGACATACACCAGTACAGAAGTCTAAAAAAGTGTGTGTGTGTGTGTGTGTGTGAGTGTGTGTGTGTGTGTGTGTGTGTGTGTGTGTGTGTGTTTTAGAGCACTTTACATCATCAGTATTACTTTTTTCAACAACTTTTTATTGACCGAATGTTTTTATGATTCTTGACAAATGTGTATGTTTCCCACGTGTTCTAACAAGTGTCTACACGTATTTCCAGCACTTCATGGAGAAGGAGCGGGGTAAGGTGGTCGTCTATGTCACCACTCTGGGTATCGTGCGCGGCACCTACGAGCGGTGTCTGCGCATCAGGAAGATCTTATGGACGCTGCTGGTGCGCTTCGAGGAACGTGACGTGTTTATGGCTCGGGACACACAGCTCCAGCTACTAGACCGTCTACGATCTAGGAGTGTCACTGTCCCACACGTCTTCCTTGAGGGACAGTACCTAGGGGTGAGTGACGGGTTGGTGGATAGGGCAGGAGGCAGGAGTGGTGGCAGTAAGTGGTGTAGTAGTAGTAGTTGTCCAGCTCTTGATGAAGGCGGAACAGCAGCAGTAATAGTAGTAGTAGTAGTAGTAGTAGTAGTAGTAGTAGTAGTAGTAGTAGTAGTAGTAGTATCAACAGTAGCAGTACAATGATAAAAGTATTAATAGCAAAAATAATAGAAGCGGTTTTAGTAGCAGCTATAGTATTAAAATAAAATGTCAGGACTTTTTTATGTACGAAACTGTGTGTGTGTGTGTGTGTGTGTGTGTGTGTGTGTGTCGCAGCACCAGACTGACCGCAGTGTTTACCCCCCACAGGACGCCGAGCAGATCGAGCGTATGAACGAGTGTGGTGAACTGAGACGCCTCCTACAGCCCTACAGGGTAAGTCGTCACAGCCTTTTATCTTTGTCATCCTCCAGGTCCACGACACTCTCCTCAGTAAGGATAATCCTACAGTAACCTATTGACCCTTGTTATGACCTAATAATGACCTAAGATACTACATAATTCAATAGATAATAAAGTCACTATATTCTTAAGGGGAACTTGTACACTTGTGGGGATCTTTACAAGTTCTCTTTCTCCTTTTCTCTCTGTCTTTCTCTCTCACTGGTCAAAGCATCCGTGTAACCTAAGTGTTGTTCTCTCCTGCAGAGGGCGACGACGTGCAGCCTGTGCGACACGTGTGGGGGTTTCCGCCTCCTGCCGTGCTCCGTGTGTAATGGCTCCAAGAAATCTGTCCACCGCAACAACTTCACCCTTGAGTTCGTGGCTCTTAAGTGCTCCAGTTGCGACGAGTCCGGCCTTGTCAAGTGCATGGACTGTGCCGAGTACAAGGACGAGCTCGATTCCCAGCAGCTGTAGACGAGAGTACAAGGACGACCTCGAGACACATGTGTAGATGGGAGTAAGAGGACGTCCTCGACTCCCAGCAGCCGCAAGAGGCTACCGCAGCCGAGTACAGGAACGTCCTCGACTCCCCACAGCAGTTTAGATAATGACAACCTTTGCTTCATACATAGTTTTGTAGACAGTAGAAGGTGAAGATGCTCACCCCAGACACGAAGGACAACCTAAGAGTATTATATGCGTCAGTCGTGTCCTAGATGTGTGTACATAGTTATAGAGTTATGAGGTTGAGCGAACACTTGACACAGCCGCTACTCATATTTAGCGCCGTGTCCCCGCTGGATAACTGTGATTAATGTCTCGTTCACTACAGATGATGTTGGAGAGTGAGAGTGAGAGAGAGGTTGACCAGCATATTATCTCTGTGTAAATATGAGCTGAGTCTGACCTTAGAAACCAAATAAAAGGAAAAGAAAGACGAGAGCTTGAGTGTGTACCTTGAAGCTAAACAGTGATATAAGAAGGCAGGCCAGAGGTGAGCTGTGTTTACCCACCAAGAGAGGCTGCTACCTGTGTCGACAAAACCGTCAACATTACTATAAAGAGTTAGCACCGAGTGGAGGAGAGTGAACCTACGAGTTGGACCATCGGTTGTCTGTTAATGCACTGAGTGGCTGATAACGTTGGCATACATGTATATAGTGTACTACATACTGGTTGTATAATAGAGACTATAATATGCTTATTTACAGAGGTGAATATTCAGTTGGTAGTCAGAGGAACTGATCTCACCTTAAAACTGTTGCTTGTCATGACTTACGATGCACACGGACTTGTATAGAAGAATTAATACAGGAATAAAGTTAGTCAGTAGAGCAACAGTAAGGTAGAACCACTAGTTGACTCAGTCGACCAAAACTCCAGTCAAGACTCACTACAGCTGAGATTAAAAGACGAGCAAACATTCGCCTGGCGTAGTTCCCATCACACTGTAATTACTATGATGTAGTTAACCACCATCAACTGCTCGTACTGGCGTAACTGATTGGGTATATTGACATTGTTCTTCACGGTGGAGGCACAGTAGCTGTCAGACCCAATAAAGGTAACGAAACACTGACCTTCCAACTTGTTACTTAAGGAGGCAACAGCTAACATACCATAACATAAAGCTAACTATGTGCAGTTACGTAACACCTAGACAGCTAAATACTGTTAAAAATATATCTATAACAAAAGCTAAATATCTGTCATTCTTAGTCCAGCAGGTATTTGGCATCGATGTTTCTTAATTAGTGGAGGTATTGGCAGGTGTTTGTAGTGAGATGTAAGTGGGTTAGCAGGTGTACAATTGTGTGTGTGTGGGTGGGTGGGTGTGGTCGAAGTAGCAGGTGTGGGCTGATCTAATTACAGGTGTAGACGATCGAACACCAATGTTTACTTAATCAGGATATAAATAAAATGGGAGTCACTAATCTAGTATACCTAACCTAACCTAACCTATTACAAATAAAATTCATTAGTTCTGGGTCCCAATCTAGATAAATCAGATTATAATAGGTATAACATCCCTATTTAGAACACGGGGGACCACCTAATAAACCACCACCCGTGTAATCTACCCCCTCCCCCATCGTCATCCCCCTAATCACCCATCATCCCCCCCCCCAGCTCCCCCAACCCCCCCTCCACCTCAACACATAACTAAGGTAAATGTGATATTCCCGAGATTCTATTGATTCTAATTCCGACTGACTTTACCTTATCATCTATTAGTCTCTTGTACCGACGGTGCTGAGGGAGTAGAGTCAAGGAGATACATACACATACACACACACGGTAGAGAAGTATTAGGGAGTAGTATCAAACACCGCCGGTACAACAGATACTATAAGTTGTTGTTTTTATCAGTTTTACATTGATGTTTTTTTGATGTTTTTTTCTTCATTTATACCAAGTTTGATAAGATCTGTTGTATACCAGATGTAGATAATTTGGTTTAATATGTATGTATAGATATATATATATATATATAAACAGTTTATATGGAGAATTTCTTGTGTTTGTTTTACTCCCTGGATGTGTGTGTGTGTGTGTTAACATTATTGTCTGAGTCATAAGTAATAGAAAAGACTTTCCCAGGTGTTTTATTCAGAAGCAGCACTTGTGGGCACAGTGATCACTTAAGTGTGTCTCTCTAGAAGAAGCACTTGAGGGTACAGTAATCACTCAAGTGTGTTTCTCTAGAAGAAACACTAAAGCACCTATATAGGAAAGACACTTAAGGAACCTCAAATTACACAAACAAGAATCTAAAAAAAAGTCATTTGGAGCCAGTGGCCACTTAAGTATATAAAAAGATCACATAATGGCCCAGTGGTCACTTAAACGTGAATCTAGAGAAAAATTTAATGGCCCAGTAGCCACTTAAAACACGTATATAAAAGGAACACTTAATGGCCCAGTGGTTACTTAAAACATGAATCTAAGAGAACCACTTGAAAGACAGACTCCCAAGACGTCTTCAACCTCTTCTCTGTGTCCGGGGTCGGTCAAACCTAACCTAACCTAATACCACCACGATGCCGAGACTGCTGTGTTGTTCCTGACCATCACACACACCACCCGTCATGTCTCATTACCTTCTCTCAACACAAGGGCCGCGTCCATCCTTCAACTGCCACATTCAACTCCACGTTTATACAGTATATCCTTACAGGTATTCTCTGGGATGGGGTGGGGTGGGGTGGGAAATGGGGAGTGGGGTGGGGGGGTGGGTGGGTGGGGTGGGGTTGGGGTGGGGTGGGGTGGGGTTGGGGGTGGGGTGGGGTGTGGGGTGGGGTGGGGTGTGGGGTGGGGTGGGGTGGGGTAGGGGGTTGGGTGGGGTGGGGTGGGGTGGGGGTGGGTGGGGTGGGGTGGGGGTGTGTGTGTCTATTTAAGGTGAGTCTTAGTTTAATCTTATTATCTATTGTTGTTGTGTTTTAATTTATGACAACCAGTAATTTATCTATTTATGAGGAATCTATTCATCTTACGAGGTTTGTGACAGCAGGTCTAATATTATGAAAGTTGTCTTGTAATTTTTAACATAGTCACCTTGATCTGTTTAATGTCAGTGTGTGTGTGTGTGTGTGTGTGTGTGTGTGTGTGTGTGTGTGTGTGTGTGTGTGTGTGTGTGTGTGTGTGTGTGTGTGTGTGTCAGTCCGGGAACAAGTTATGTTGTTGGGCCAATTAAAAAAAAAACAACTTAATTAACCTCTCAAAAAACTGGTGTATAATTTCGTTAACAAAGAGAAATTAAGGTGATTTATATTGTATTTGTAACTTTGTATTAGATAATTCACCTGTTGACTACTGCTACACCGCCACCCATCCGCTGTGAGAAGGGATTTGTTTTACATGTGAATCACCCAACACTCGCGACCCCCTCCTATCTTAAGCATACACACACACACACACACACACACACACACACACACACACACACACACACTTACTGGGATGTTTACGGAACGCATTCTTCACCCTTGTTCATTTACCAGACAACACGTACGGTATGTAAAGTGTGTTAGAGTGTGTTGATGTTTGCTGTATTTACAAAGGTTAAGTTAGTTTTAGTTTTATACACAGCTTCACGATCCCGCTATGAAAGTGTGTCAGGTTCCTTGGTTGGGTACAGCATGAGCTTGATGGGACTATTGAGAACCAGTGACCATGAAGCTTGATCTGTAAGCTTGTTTTGGGGGTCGACCACTCCTGTCTTCCTTCTCTATAACATCTAAGGCTACTAAAACTACAACTACTAATACCACTAAAATAATAAAAATAGTGGTTGCCCCTCGTGTAACGAGGATGGCCGGCCCAAGGGCCACCTAGGCGTGAATTTGCTAAAGGTGTAGAAGCTGTCGCCAACACAACAACTACACCCTGAGTTAACGAGCTGCATGACCCAGTGTCAAGGAATAGTCCGAGAAGACCGGACAACTCGCCAACTGCACTGGCTAACTATTAACCCCGGAACATGATCCGTAAATCGATTAACATCCGGGTTCCAAATTACTGCTGGGTAGACAGAAGCAAATGGCGTAAAGAAACTTACCCATAATTTCACCCTGCCCGAAGATCGAATCCGGGTCTGCGCGCTTGCAAGAAAATGTTTATACAAGTTTCTGCTAAGAAGAGAAAGAAAACGTAAATCTCCTTCAATCATAGAAAATGTAAACATTTTAGAATAAACTTATATAAATTTACTAAACAACGTAAAAATTGCTCAGGAATAAAAGTAATTAATCGCACCTGTAATACATGCTTCAGGGAATATTTTATGATGTATTAGAGCCATGAATATTAATAAATTAACACTAATTTACGCGTTAATACATCAATTAAAGCTTATACAATGCGTTATAACTTATACGAAACCTTAACATGAGCTCAGCCAGGCAATGAAACAGTAACGGCTTGAAGTGACATGTCAAATGGATCCTAGTTCTAATAAGCCCCATATTAACCTAACCTAACCTAACCTAACCTAACCTAACCTAACCTAAACCTAACCTGATTTAACCTAAACCTATCTCATAACACTAGGGCCCAGGAGGAGTGAGAATCATTAGAAGTGAGACGCATAAAGACTTAGGGCCTATTTGGGATTGTGGTCCATCATAACTGAGTAACTGTGAGTAACATACAGTACTCACAGAGATACTGAACCATTGTCAGCCCTAGAGGTCATTAGAACACAGGGAAGCATGAGATAACCGACTTTAAGAGACGACGTGACTGAGTACTGTCTTGACCCGACCCGAGTGTAAAAATTTGTTTACATCCGACCATGACGACGTTACTGGTGCCACACACATACACACATGCATACACACACACACACACACACACACACACACACATGCACAGGTGTGTGTGTGTGTGTGTGTGTGTGTGTGTGTTACAAGACAATACAAACTGCCACCACAAGAGAAGGTAAAAATGAAGGTCAGATCACGTGAAATACTGAACGAAGTATTTGAGTGGATGGTGGTGGTAGCGGGGGCGGGAGTGGTGATGGTGGTAGTGGTTGAGGATGGTGGTAGTAGTGGTTGGTGATGGTTGTGTTGGTGGTAGCGGAGGCGTGGGGGTGGTAATGGTAGTGATAGCGGGCGGTGATGATGGTGGTGGTGGTAGTAGTGGTTGGTAATGGTGGTAGCGAGAGCTGTACTGACGTTTGATTGTCTAGTTGGCTGCCATGACCCTGGAACACGCTGTTGCTGGTCACGCACTACAACAACAACAACAACAACAACAACAACAACAACAACAACAACAACAACAACAACAACAACAACAACAGCAACAATAGTAATAATAGTGATTAAAATTACCTTCACTGTACTAATTCACAGATCAAATCTATGGTTACCTGGCGTATTGTTGGGGAAGTGGTGGGGGTGGTGTGGGGTGGGGGTAGTGGGGGTGTGGTGTGGGGTGGGGAGTAGTGGGGGTGGGGGTGGTGTGGTGTGGGGTGGGGGGGTGGGAGGGAGGTAGTGCCAGGTCATGGCCTGCCGTCGTCCTCAGTCCCCCGTGTGTGCCAGTGAGATAGGGCCACTTCGGTCCTGGTCTCCCTCAGTCTCAGACCCCTGTACAGCACAGCTAGGTGACACCTTTGGTCAAGCGGCCCCTAGTGAAGCAAGACACCCTTTGGTCGACACGGCCTTGGTGACACCGGGTCACGGCCTTGGGTATGTGAACACCTTTGGTCCACGGCTGGAGTGACAGACACCCTGGGTCCACGGCCTTGGTGACAGACACCCTTTGGTCGACACGGCCCTGGTGACACCCTTTGGTCGGCCAGCCCTGGTGACACCCTTTGGTCGTCTGACCCATGGTGACACCCTTTGGTCATGCCCTAGGTGACACCCTTTGGTCCTACGGCCCTTAGGTGACACCTTTGGTCGACACAGCTGGTGACACTGGTCACACATAGCCTTTGAGTGACAGACACCCTTTGGTCGACAGCCTCTGACAGCAACAGTAAGAACCCCAGGATTTGTGTGTGTGTGTGTGTGTGGCAGCAGAGAGGACCATCCTGCCGACATGATAGGAATCAAGATGGCCAGAAACGGGGTGATCCAATCGCTGTGTTTCCTAGCTGGCATTCTCGCTGTAGCAGGTGAGTCTGTGTTTGTTTATGTCTCAGTAAACCTCTGTCTTATTCCTCATTATCTCTCTATTACCCTATACATTCTCGCCTTCTCTCTCATCATTCCTTCTCTCTCACTTGTCACCTTCCTTACCCCTCATGTCATCCATCTCTCCCTACCGGTACATCCCCATCAAAAATCTTCCACCTATACGAATCAATTAATCCAGGTAAGACAGGTGAGTCATAACAGGTGCCCCTAAGGTACCTACCGTGACGCAATACACACACACACACACACACACACACACACACACACACACACACACACACACACGCACACACTACACACACACACACCAGTCACCAACACAGCGCCATAATAGTGATGCAATAAGTGCCATCACATACTTAAACTATCACTTAATCACTTTAATGACTTTATTGGTGTAGTTGTTATAAGTGTTTGTGTTGTATGTGTAGTGTTTAATTTACTTCCTTAACTGGTGATGTAAAAGCGCTATTAACTGAGTCAGTGAAGTTACAACACAATGATGGATATAGTAGAGGGTTATAGGTTAATAAAAATACCTTTAACTGATGATGTAAGAACGTATTATGTTAATTGTCTTAGCCAGAGTTAACCTACGACACAAAGATGGATACTTAAAGGTCATAAGTTAAAGTTCCTCATTAACTCCACTGACTAATTCACTTAACCAAACCTAAACCAAAACCTAACCTAACCAAAAACTAACCTAACCTAACTAAACTAAACCAAACCAAACCAAACCTAACCTAACCTAACCTAACCTAACCTAACCTAACCTAACCTAACCTAACCTAACCTAACCTAACTAAACTAAACCTAACCTATTCTTCTTCCTAACCTAACCTAACCAACCTAACCAAAAAACCTAACCTAACCTAACCAAAACCTAACCTAACCTAACCAAAACCTAACCTAATCCGAAGCCTCATATATTAAATTTCCCCAAAGTGATAATGGAAGGACCGTCTCCCTCTCTCCCTCTCTCTCTTCCTCCCTCTCTCTCTCCCTCTCTCATTCCCCTCCGTTCCTCCCTCACTCTTACCTCCTATACCCTACCCTTAATCTTGTCCCTCCCTTCCAAATATTCTTTCTCCCCTCAACCTTACCTTCTCTCTCTCTTTCTCCCCTTGTCTCTCTCTCTCTCCCCTTCTCTCTCTCTCTCTCTCCTCTCCTTTCCTCTTCCTTCCCTCAATCTTGGCTCCCTACAACACTCAGTTCCTCCCCCTCCCTCCTCTCTCTCTCTCCCCCTTCCTCTACCCTCTCCTTCTCTCCCTCCTTCACCCTTACCTTTATCTGGCTCCCTACCTCCTCATCCTCTCTCTCTCTCTCTTTCTCTCTCTCTCTCTCCCCTCTCCTTCTCTCCCTCCAAGACGTCACACAGGCATTAACAGATTACACCCTCACATGACACAGTGGTAGGTGTGGTAGTGTTATGTTACTTGGAGACCATGGTGTAGTATAGCTCTCTAGTTCACACACACCTGTTCTTCTTTTGTTCATACACCTGTTCTTCTTGCTCTTCTTTTGTTCATACACCTTTTCTTCTTCCTCACTGGTTCATGCATCTGTTCTTCTTTTGGTCATAAACCTGCTCTTCTTCTTCACTGGTTCATACATCTGTTCTTCTTTTGTTCATATACCTGTTCTTCTTCTTCCTCATTGGTTCATACACACCTGTCCTATTCCACTGACTCATACACCTGTCATCCCTCACCACTCATTCACACACCTGTCATCCTTCACCACATCGTTCGCACACCTGTCCTACTCCCTCCACTGACTGACACACACCTGTCATCCTTCACTAATTACATACACCACAAATAAGGAAACTATGACATAAACAAAACTCAATATCAAGAAGAAACCAAATATTCTAATATTTTTCTCAACAGTTCTAAAAAAAAACTCGTATGTTAAGTTCTATCATCGATTTAAATTCCTCTAAGGTGAAGGTTTAAGAATATACCTTACTGCCTGCCTTAAGATAAAACACAATAATTACGTCAAAAAATAAAATAAATTAATAGTTAGTCATCAATCGGAAATTCTACCTTTACCTTATGTTAATTAACCATCAGGTGAAATTAACCTAATGTGCCTTTAATCTACCCAAAACTAATCCAACTTAACATAACCTAGTCTGAACTAACCTAACCTAATCCAACTTAACATAGTGTAGTCTAAAGTCACCTAACCTAATCTAATCTAAACAAACCCAAACATAACAATGACCTAACATAACCCGGGTCAGGTTAGTTAAATTAGGAGTTTGTTAGGTTAGGTTAGTTTAAAGTCTGAAGGTTAATGAGTCCACATGCCTTTAACTTTTTCAATAGATAAATAAAAAACTAATGAGATAGATAGATAGATAGAGAGAGAGAGAGAGAGAGAGAGAGAGAGAGAGAGAGAGAGAGAGAGAGAGAGAGAGAGAGAGAGCCGTGTGTGTGACAGTAATGAACATGAAGCAAGGCTACAACCAGTGTTACCAAGACGACCACGCCACTCCGTCGTCATAACAAATACTGTACTGTACAGTTGGCATTGGTAACACTGCTCGCCCACACGTACTTGGGAGCCGTTTGTACGTAAAATCTTAGTACGTGATGACTGTTTAATAAGCCTACGTGCTGACTAAACCTAACCTAACAAAAACCTAACCTAACCAATATATGATGACCCTGACTAGTAATGGACGTCAAACAGTAAAAAAATAATAATAATAATAAAAAACAAAATTATAAACATCACCACTTCACAATTACTGACCTAAACCCTGGCCAGAATTTACACCCAATTTTACGGTTGTCCATCAGTCAAACTCAACCAGACACCCATAAAATAACACCAAACAACCTGACATATTCCTGGACGCGTGAATGACATATAACTCTCCCCCAAAAAAACCTACAAAATTATAGAATATGTCACTAGGTTATATTTATATCATAGACTTATATAACTAAAAATGGGTGTAAAGGTACCTGACTTTTAAGTTGAGGAAGTGAAGATGGTCGAGTACAGTGTCGGCCAATATGCCTTCGTGTGTACCTAGTGTGTGGTCCATTATATACCTTGTGCCATTTTGTTCACTTCTCACCTCCAGGGTCAATTTAAACTGAGGAAAACAAACAAATATAAAAATAAATAAATAACAAGTACAACAACAATAATAATAACTATAAAAATAACAATATATCAAAATAACTTAGTAAATAAATACCTATTGTGGTTTTTTTTATCTCTCGTATTATCACAAACACCAAAAAAATCACCTCTAAATCACAAACTATCCCATATAATCACAAACAATCCCTTCAAATCACAAACAATCCCTTCAAATCACAAACAATCCCTTCAAATCACAAACAATCCCTTCAAATCACAAACAATCCCTTCAAATCACCACTAAACGACAATTGCCTCTAAATCGCAATCACCGAACCGAAATCACAAACAAACCCAATAAACCACAAAGAATCACCTCTAAATCACAAACAATCGTCTCTAAATAGCAATCACCATTACATCACAAACAATCACCTAAATCACAAACCCACTCACTACCACACAAATCGGACCGGTCAATAGCTAAAATTATTCTGCACAAATGTCTCTTCCCTCCAGTCTACTGCATCACTTAGCTACAGGGACTTGAAATTGTTTTTAACTGTACCTGTAACTTTATCTAACTAACTTTAACTGTAAATTTATCGAACTAATTGTAACTTTAACGCTAACTGTAACTTTATCTAACTAACTGTAACTGACTGTAAACTGTACCTTTAACTCTAACTGCACCTATAAATTTAACTGTATTTAACTATATTTAACTAACTTTATCTAAATTAACTGTAACACTGTAACTTTATCACAGTAATAATAATAATAATAATAATAATAATAATAATAATAATAATAATAATAATAATAATAATAATAATAATAATAATAATAATAATAATAATAAAAATAATAACAACAATAATGATAATAGTAATAATAATAACAATAATAATAATAATAATAATAATAATAATAATAATAATAATAATAATAATAATAATAATAATAAAAATAATAACAACAATAATGATAATAGTAATAATAATAATAACAATAATAATAATAATAATAATAATAATAAAATAATAATAATAATAATAATAATAATAATACTCTGGACTGGTATATAGTACAGGAGTCATGACCAATGCGGTGTTAAGCGGTGCTGGTCTTGGTTGAAGTATTTTTAGTGACGTGTGTGTTTACAGGTTGTTGTCAAGACCACTGATGATAGATACGACCTGCTACGTCTCTCTCTCTCTCTCTCCTTGTCATGGTAACCTTATAGATTTTGTCGTGGAGGTCGAGTCGTGAATCCTTTTGTCCTATATAAACACGACAACACCAACCTTGTCCTCACTCAGACCAAGCACGCACGTATCAACAAGTGAGGACAATGTTGTTCTGATCGCCACGAACATCAGTACAAACACGCTCTAGTAATGTGATCTTTAATGTGTATGTTATCTAAGGTGTAAACAATGATTTGATTGATAACTCACCTATGATGAAGGTGTTAATGGTCTCTAACCTAACCTAACCTAACCTAACCTAACCTAACCTAACCTAACCAAACATAACCTAACCAAACATAACCTAACCTAACCTAACCAAACCAAACCAAACCTAACCTAACCTAACCTAATCTAACCTAACCTAACCAAACCTAACCTAACCTAACCTAACCTAACCTAACCTAACCTAACCTAACCTAACCTAACCTAACCTAACCTAACCTAACCTAACCAAACATAACCTAACCTAACAAATAATAATTAATTTACCTGATTTTAACTATTTTTATTATTACGTATTTATCTTTTTTTTTCAGGAGCAGCGCCGACCCTCAATACAATGAAATTATTGGGGGTGGTGTGAAGTGGTGGGGGTGAATGTGGGGGTGGTGTGGGGGGTAGTGTGGGAGTAGTGTGGGGTGGTGTGGGGGGGTGTGGGGGTGGGGGGTGAGTGTGGGGAATGTGCTAGATGTGTGGGGATGGAGGCAGACATAAAATAAGAATACATAGAAAATAGATAGATAGATAGATAGATAGATAGATAGATAGATAGATTGAAATAATGTTGACAAGATTAGGACAAATATTATTGAATAGTTTATAACCTAACTCAACCTAACCTAACCTAACCTAACCTAACCTCATCTTTTTACCTTGTGTTTCAGATTCCCAGCCTGACACTTGTAAGTATTCCTCCTGGTACTCTTCCTAGTAACTTGTTTCACTTGTTAATTTCCTGAACAATATATATTTTGAAAGACATAAAGATGATAATAATAATAAACAATATCCACTGTATACTGTATTTTCCTTTATAAATACACTAAAGACTCTATAACACAGCCTTACAGTCAGACAAAATACAGCTGTAACATTTGTGTCAACTATTTTTCGCTGTAGCCAATATATTCTTTAATCTATTCTCTCTCTCCCTTCTACAGGTAAGGCCTATGTCCAAGTGACTGTTGGACAAACTGCTTACTTAGAGTCGCTCAATGGTGTAAACCCGACTGATGAGATGAGAAAAACAGATGTGGAGAATATGGTAACTACTCTTGTCTGTCTGTCTCTGTCTGTCTCTGTCTGTCTGTCTCTGTCTGTCTATCTCTGTCTGTCCTTACAATTATTCTTGTGTGGGTTTATCTATTGATCTATCTATGTATCGATCTATCCATACATTTACTTGTGCAAGGTAAATGACGCTGCTACCACACTTACCAACTCTTATCGAGACAGTGGGTGAGATTTAGTGTTTATTTTGAAATCCCTCGTCTTCATGGGTAAGTGATCGAATACAAATCACAGCTAAAACAAAATATTGGTAACTGTATATTAGTGACAAAGGCGATTAGTTATCAAGTACAAGACATTGGTTAAGAGTACCCCTTCTCCCGTTCCTTCTACAGACAGAGGTGGTTCTTAACGCCATAAACACAACAATCATCAGCGTGGAGGTCACCAAATTAGAGGTCTACAACGATACGACCCTATCAGTTGAGATGACGATAACCGTAGCTTGTAATGCAGCCGACCCATGGGTAAGTTCTGTCATCATTACCTCGAAAATGTCATCCAACTTGTTTATTTAGTCATCCAATCTGTTATTTCAGTCATCCAACTTGTCATTTCAGTTATCCAGCCTGCTATTCAGTCATCTAACCTGTCATTCAGTCATCCAACCTGTTATTCAGTCATCTAGATTGTCATTCAGTCATCTAACCTGTCATTCAGTCATCCAACCTGTTATTCAGTCATCCAGATTGTCATTCAGTCATCTAACCTGTCATTCAGTCATCCAACCTGTTATTCAGTCATCTAGATTGTCATTCAGTCATCTAACCTGTCATTCAGTCATCCAACCTGTTATTCAGTCATCTAGATTGTCATTCAGTCATCTAACCTGTCATTCAGTCATCCAACCTGTTATTCAGTCATCCAGATTGTCATTCAGTCATCTAACCTCTCATTCAGTCATCCAACCTGTCATTCAGTCATCCAACCTGTCATTCAGAGTGACAATCATTTAATTTGTCAATTACTATCATTCAATCTGTCTTCATCCAAAGTATCATCCACCAACTATGCAATCTTTTCATGTAATCATCCAACAAGTCATCCAATATGAGTCTAAAGTCAACCACTCAACCTGTCATCCAATTGTGTCAGTCAGGTTCCCATCCAATCTATCTCTCATCCATCTCATCGATGGTCAAGCTAATATTTTAAGAGTGCCATCAGTCATCCATAGTGCTAGTCATCCATTATATCATCCATAGTATCAGTCATCCATTAGGTCGTCCATAGTACCAAGTCATCCATTAGGTCATCCATAGTACCAATCATCCATTAGGACGTCCATAGTACCAGTCATCCATAGTACCTCTCATCCAACTGTGTTTACTCATCCGATCTTTCCCCTCCCTCAGACTGACCGCCAGGCTCACGTTCAGGAGGTCTTAGATTCTGTAAAAACCCAAAAACCGGATTTCCTGTTCAGTTTAGATGAGGCGATAATTTCTGGTAAGTGTAATAACTCTTTTTAAGTCTTTTCTATATTACCTAAAATTATAATATATTTTTATCTGTTCTAAATGATGTCAATAGTGATTTAATTCTTTCTTAATTTATTTATTTATTTATTCATTTATTTATTTATTTATTTTTATTATTTTATTTTTATTTTTTTTAACCCTTCAGAGACACAGCCTGCCACTGACAATACTACTACCCCTGCTGGTGATGGTTCCGGCACTACTACCCCTGCTGGTGGTGGTTCCGGCACTACTGCCCCTGCTGCTGCTGCTGGTGGGGGTTCCAACACTACTGCCCCTGCTGGTGATGGTTCCGGCACTACTACCCCTGCTGGTGGTGGTTCCGGCACTACTGCCCCTGCTGCTGCTGCTGGTGGGGGTTCCTTACTGCCTCTGTGATGGTTCGGCACTTTCTACCTGTAATTAATTGGTTCCTTTTCTGCCCTCTTTGATGGTTCCTTTTTCTCCCTGCTGGTGGTGGTTCCGGTGCTACCAATGGCGGTACGACTGCTACAGGTAATGAAAGAGATTCCTAGAACAGATAAGTCCACCTTTTTTATCACAACTTGACGTTCCTACGATAAATAAGTCGCTTTTTCTCTTACATAAACAACCTGATTCTGGGACAGTGTCAATTAATATACAAAAAAAAAAAAATCTAAAATAAAATGCTAAAAATAAGGACAAAATTGGATAAAATTAAACGAAAAACGAAACAAAATCGAGTACGGTACGTGTCCTTATTGGGGGGGGGGTTGCTTTGGAGTTATTTTTCTATAGTTTTTAATTATGGGTCTTCAGTGCCTGTATAGTGTGTCAATGGAACGCTGGATATAGAACATTAGCCAGAAATAGCTACAAGACACCATGACAGCTACAAGACACAATGACAGCTACTAGACACAATGACAGCTACTAGACACAATGACAGCTACTAGACACTTCAAATTATGTAGCCAAAGAAAACCAGACAAGTACTATAATTTATTAAGAAAACCCCTAACCTAACCTAACCCATCCTAAACCTAACCTAACCTAACCCATCCTAAACCTAACCTAACCTAACCCATCCTAAACCTAACCTAACCAAACCACATTTCAATCAAGCTTAACCTAACAAAATAACCTTAACTTAAATCCAACCTAACCTAAACCACACCTAACTTAACAAACTAAACCAAACCTAACTTGACAAAACCAAACCCTAACTGCAATCTATACCTAACCTAAACCAAACCTAATCTACACTACTGTTATGACTACACCTGTTACCACACACCATACCTGTCACCACAATAATGTTTATACACATAAATACGTTTTTGTGTAAAATATAACGCAGTCATTTACAGATTAATATTTTCCTAATTTTATCGTTGTCACATCACATCAGACACTTATTGTTTTGTTTACATCTCCATTTTCTTTACTCATATACCTAAAAATATAGATCATATATATTAAAATTAATCATTATATATCAGATATGTACAGTCACTTAAAAGAAATTATCTATGCGAAATTAAGTCGAAAAAATATGACACAACGGAAGAAGGATTTTGACAACCCTACCGAGACAACAGGAGTCACAGTGTTCATTCTGAAATTCATCGATCACCCCAAGTAGAGATAGTTTTTTTGAGTGATTGTGCCTTAATTTTTCCATATGATACGAGTCCAGTATTAGCCACTTAAAACATGACTTAACCACCATAGGAAGAGCGGCCACAACAACTATTCTTAACGCTGGTAAGTGATAACTACCACAGCATCACATACTAACTACCACAGTACCACAGCACCACATATTAGTACCACAGCACCACACACACACACCAGTATCACAGCACCACATATTAGTACCACAGCTCCACACACTAGTACCACAGCACCACATATTAGTACCACAGCACCACACGCACACCAGTACCACAGCACCACATATTAGTACCACAGCACCACACACTAGTACCACAGCACCACATATTAGTAACACAGCTCCACACACACCAGTACCACAACACTACATATTAGTACCACAGCTCCAAGCACACACCAGTACCACAGCACCACATATTAGGTACCAGCCCGCACACCCAGTACCACAGCATCACATATTAGTACCCACAGCTCCACACACATACCTTCACACAACACCACACACTAGCACACAGCACCACACACTTGTACTGCAGCACCACACATTAGCACCCCAGCACCACATACCAGTACCACAGCACCACACACCAGTACCACAGCACCACACACCCTGTACCACACAGCACCACACATTAGCACCCCAGCACCACATACCAGGCACCACAGCACCACACACCATGTACCACAGCACCACACATTAGGGCACCCCAGCACCACACACCAGGCACCAGCACCACACCAGTACCACAGCACCACACACTTGTACCACAGCACCACACACACAGCACCCCAGCACCACACAATTAGTACCACAGCACCACACACTAGTACCACAGCACCACATTAGCACCCCAGCACCACATACCAGGCACCACAGCACAGACACCAGTACCACAGCACCACACACCAGTACCACGGCACACAGACACCAGTACCACGGCACCACACACTTGTACCATAGCACCACACCACCACCAGTACCCACAGCACCACACCAGTACCACAGCACCACATATTAGTACCACAGCACCACACACTAGTACCACAGCACCACACACTAGTACCACAGCACCACACACTTGTACCACAGCACCACACACTAGTACCACAGCACCACACACTTGTACCACAGCACCACACACTTGTACCACAGCACCACACACTTGTACCACAGCACCACACACTAGTACCACAGCACCACACACTTGTACCACAGCACCACACACTAGTACCACAGCACCACACACTTGTACCACAGCACCACACACTAGTCCCGACACTCATGGTACTGTATTACAATATGTCACCGCACTACTATCACTACCGGTGTTGTATTATTTTTACCATAGCCTTTGTAACGTCACACCTACTGTAGTCACCACACTTATTTCTGTACCACACACCTCTGTACACCACACTACTGTAACTGGCTTTTACCCCCACTGTTACAAGGATACTGTTACAACTACTAATATACCTGTAACTGCACTTGCGTTGCTACTACACCTGTCATCACACTATTTTTACTACTACACCTGTCATAACACCATTGTTACTACTACACCTGTCATCTCACTATTGTTACTACTATATCTGTGACTGCATTGTGTTACTACTACACCTGTCATCACACTATTTTTACTACTACACCTGTCATAACACCATTGTTACTACTACACCTGTCATCACACTATTTTTACTACTACACCTGTCATAACAACATTGTCACTACTACACCTGTGACTGCACTTGTGTTGCTACTACACCTGTCATCACACTATTTATACTACTACACCTGTCATCACACCATTGTTACTACTACACCTGTCATCTCACTATTGTTACTACTACACCTGTGACTGCACTGTGTTACTACTACACCTGTCATCACACTATTTTTCTACTACACCTGTCATCACACCATTGTTACTACTACACCTGTCATCACACTATTGTTACTACTACACCTGTCATCACACTATTGTTACTACTATACCTGTGACTGCACTGTGTTACTACTACACCTGTCATCACATCATTGTTACTACTACACCTGTGACTGCATTGTGTTACTACTACACCTGTCATCACACTATTTTTACTACTACACCTGTCATCACACCATTGCTACTACTACAGTACACCTGTCATCACACTATTGTTTACTATTACACCTGTCACCATGCAATTGATACTACTACTACTATTACTACCCTCAATAGCACTAGTGTCATTATTACAGCTGTTACCCCACTAATACTATTAATTAGTCTTATCAGGTATAAATACAACACTTTGCCAATATTTCTCAACAATTATTTACAGTAAATATTCCTTTCTGAATAATGTGTAAAACTCACACGAGAGACTCACTAAATACTCTCATTTACAATAACAATAAAACATTTGTCATAAGAAACATGTAAACGTTTGTAAACACACAAGACCTAGTATTGGATATCAGTTCAATAACGTTTTCATAACATAAACAGGAAATAATCTTTTAAACATGTTTTACCCAAAGTCACAACGACCACCACACCTGTAAGAACCACTGGTAAGTATCAACTACCACAGTACCACACTACTGCTACCACAATACTGCTACCACAATACTGCTACCACAATACTACTGCCACACTACTGCTGCCACACTACTGCTACCACAATACTACTGCCACACTACTGCTACCACACTACTGCTACCACAATACTACTGCCACACTATTGCTACCACACTACTGCTACCACACTACTGCTACCACAATACTATTGCCACACTACTGCTACCACACTACTGCTGCCACACCATGAAATTTTCTTTCGCTTCACAACAATTACACATCTCTCACCACACTATTGCTATCACCACAACTGTCACCACACCACTGTTACTACTACACCTGTCATCACACTATTCTTACTACTAAACCTGTCAACACACTATTGTTACTATTACACCTGTCACCATACTTCTGTTACTACTACACCTGTCATCACATTATTGCTACTGCTACACCTGTCACCACACTATTGTTATTACTACACCTGCCACCACACTTGTTACACCACACTCGTCATCATACTACTATAACTACCTATCAAGCTATTTTGTGCTTGTATCTGTATTCTGTAACTATATGGGAAACAAACACAGTCTGGCAATCAAGAGTCGTACAGTGGCGTTAAGAATCGGGAGGAAAGTGTTGGATTTTTTCGACGTTAGGAAGTTGATCCCTTATTTACTGTAGTGTGATGTAAGATGCTGTGATTGTATTCGTTATTTAGTTGATTGTTTATATGTGACCCTCTCCCACTCTGATGAGGAGTGAGTGTGACAGATAATGATGTGATGTTGTCTCCTTCCCCATTACAGGTTCAAACGCCGACACAAGTAACCCATCGGCCGATTCTGCCACCGCCACCCCGACAGGTAGGACCATCTGTAATTAATCTTACCAACATACCAACCTTACAAACATTATATTGTCAGACAAGGTTCATCTACCATACTTCTACCACCAGGTACTCACTAATAGAGACGTGTCTATGGGCTCTAATGGTACTCCTGCCCTCCTATATTTAAGCATCAATTACCTTTACTTATTGTCAATTCCAAAACAAACTCTTACCACCACAACCAGTTTTGTACCTTTTACCTTTTTGTTTATACAGAAAGGACCAAAATTAGCATTGTAATATTTACCTACAGAAATATACAACCATGTATCAACGCCCAGTAAACACATGATTATCACCATTATCTATGTATTTATACAGGTACAAATGAAGTCTCAGCCTCAGATACCACACCTGCCGGAGGTATGTCACATACACCACCGTTTTAAACCACAATGCAACCATATAAACTTCCATCACTACCACTGACTACCATAACTTCCAACACTATTGTCACTGGCAACAGTAGGCACTAGAACCAAAAACATTTGTCTCTATATTATCTTTACACATAAATATTTACAAACACAACTACCACCATTACTAATGACAACCATAACTACTAGCACTATTAACATTGGCAACCATAAACACATTATCCACAATCTTTAACACTCGGACCATATATAATAGAAACCAATCTCTATGAATCATACTTGTCACCCAAATCCAGCCAGTGAACACGTCTACACTATAACTCACTGTAACCACTTACTGTGCTTACCATTAATACCTACAACCGTAACTACCTACCCACTTATTCAGTTTGTACAGGCATAGACCATGCACAATATACCGATACTACTGTAGCTAACACTACCGTCATCTTACCGTCATACCTGTTATCACTCGGAGCACTACTAATTGATGTACAGGTACTATCAGTATATTGTATTATCAATATCATAAGTCACCAATAATGTGGGTTACATCCAGACTATTCTTCACCGGTTGATCTTTTCCCCTATATTCACGACCTTTTATTTACTCTATAACTTCAGGCAATTAGCAACACTACCATTATATATTTTAGTAAACTTCACATAAAAGCTTTTTTTGCCCAAATTCCTTCATATGCAGTTTTAAATTTTATAATCTGTTAACTTCGATACTAGCGCAGTAATCATACACTGTAGAGACATCACACTAGTTGTTTTTCTTGCTGCGCCGGAGTGCCCCAAGGCTCAGCATATCTAACTTAACCCCAACTCTTGTTTTACATTATTGACCTTAGTTTGGTTACAATACACAGGAAAACTTATTTGCTTCTCACAATATTATTGCAAGGTCTGTTTAATTATTCTGATCACACACACACACTGTTAAAAATAAATTATAATGTACTCACATAAAAATATATACATAATACATATCTCATTGCCCTGTGTAACCCAATACTACTGACATTCACATTTTAATATTCGGTACACAGATACAACAACAAGAACTACAACCACAACTGCTGAGTCTACTGGAAGTAAGTCTCCTCCATCACAGTTACCAAACACACTGCCACCATAACTATTATCATCACTCCCACTAACTACCATATATCCTGCATATTGGCATGGCAATACTGATCACTAATCACAACTTACACTTGCGAAACGACAACGGTAAACCTTTATTCATAACCACAGCTACTAGTACTATTAATATTTACACTAAATGTGTCTTGACCAACATTACTAGCAAAGTACAGAGTTCCACCACCATTGTTATTATCACCTTTACAACTGAAATATACAGAAATATACAACCATGTATCAACGCCCAGTAAACACATGATTATCACCATTATCTATGTATTTATACAGGTACAAATGAAGTCTCAGCCTCAGATACTACACCTGCCGGAGGTATGTCACATACACCACCGTTTTAAACCACAATGCAACCATATAAACTTCCATCAATACCACTGACTACCATAACTTCCAACACTACTGTCACTGGCAACAGTAGGCACTAGAACCAATAACATTTGTCTCTATATTATCTTTACACATAAATATTTACAAACACAACTACCACCATTACTAATGACAACCATAACTACTAGCACTATTAACATTGGCAACCATAAACACATTATCCACAATCTTTAACACTCGCACCATATATAATAGAAACCAATCTCTATGAATCCTACACTTGGCACCCAAATCCAGCCACTGTACACGTCTACACTATAACTCACTGTAACCACTTACTGTGCTTACCATTAATACCTGCAACCGTAACTACCTACCCACTTTTTCAGTTTGTACAGGCATAGACCATGCACAATATACCGATACTATTGTAGCTAACACTACCGTCACCTTACCGTCATACCTGTTATCACTCGGAGCACTACTAATTGATGTACAGGTACTATCAGTATATTGTATTATCAATATCATAAGTCACCAATAATGTGGGTTACATCCAGACTATTCTTCACCGGTTGATCTTTTCCCCTATATTCACGACCTTTTATTTACTCTATAGCTTCAGACAATTAGCAACACTACCATTACATGTTTTAGTAAACTTCACATAAAAGCTTTTTTTGCCCAAATTCCATCATGTGAAGTTTCTAATTTTATAATCTGTTAACTTCGATACTAGCGCAGTAATCATACACTGTAGAGACATCACACTAGTTGTTTTTCTTGCTGCGCCGGAGTGCCCCAAGGCTCAGCATATCTAACTTAACCCCCACTCTTGTTTTACATTATTGACCTTAGTTTGGTTACAATACACAGGAAAACTTATTTGCTTCTCACAATATTATTGCAAGGTCTGTTTAATTATTCTGATCACACACACACACTGTTAAAAATAAATTATAATGTACTCACAAAAAAAATATATACATAATACATATCTCATTGCCCTGTGTAACCCAATACTACTGACATTCACATTTTAATATTCGGTACACAGATACAACAACAACAACAAGAACTACAACCACAACTGCTGAGTCTACTGGAAGTAAGTCTCCTCCATCACAGTTACCAAACACACTGCCACCATAACTGTTACCACCACTTCCACTAATTACCATATATCCAGCATATTGGCAATGGCAATACTGATCACTAATCACAACTTACACTTGCGAAACGACAACGGTAAACCTTTATTCATAACCACAGCTACTAGTACTATTAATATTTACACTAAATGTGTCTTGACCAACATTACTAGCAAAGTACAGAGTTCCACCACCATTGTTATTATCACCTTCACAACTGAAATATACAGAAATATACAACCATGTATCAACGCCCAGTAAACACATGATTATCACCATTATCTATGTATTTATACAGGTACAAATGAAGTCTCAGCCTCAGATACCACACCTGCCGGAGGTATGTCACATACACCACCGTTTTAAACCACAATGCAACCATATAAACTTCCATCACTACCACTGACTACCATAACTTCCAACACTACTGTCACTGGCAACAGTAGGCACTAGAACCAATAACATTTGTCTCTATGTGATATTTGCTCAGAAATATTTACAAACACAACTACCACCATTACTAATGACAACCATAACTACTAGCACTATTAACATTGGCAACTATAAACACATTATCCACAATCTTTAACACTCGCACCATATATAATAGAAACCAATCTCTATGAATCCTACACTTGTCACCCAAATCCAGCCAGTGAACACGTCTACACTATAACTCACTGTAACCACTTACTGTGCTTACCATTAATACCTACAACCGTAACTACCTACCCACTTATTCAGTTTGTACAGGCATAGACCATGCACAATATACCGATACTACTGTAGCTAACACTACCGTCACCTTACCGTCATACCTGTTATCACTCGGAGCACTACTAATTGATGTACAGGTACTATCAGTATATTGTATTATCAATATCATAAGTCACCAATAATGTGGGTTACATCCAGACTATTCTTCACCGGTTGATCTTTTCCCCTATATTCACGACCTTTTATTTACTCTATAACTTCAGACAATTAGCAACACTACCATTACATATTTTAGTAAACTTCACATAAAAGCTTTTTTTGCCCAAATTCCATCATGTTAAGTTTCTAATTTTATAATCTGTTAACTTCGATACTAGCGCAGTAATCATACACTGTAGAGACATCACACTAGTTGTTTTTCTTGCTGCGCCGGAGTGCCCCAAGGCTCAGCATATCTAACTTAACCCCCACTCTTGTTTTACATTATTGACCTTAGTTTGGTTACAATACACAGGAAAACTTATTTGCTTCTCACAATATTATTGCAAGGTCTGTTTAATTATTCTGATCACACACACACACTGTTAAAAATAAATTATAATGTACTCACATAAAAATATATACATAATACATATCTCATTGCCCTGTGTAACCCAATACTACTGACATTCACATTTTAATATTCGGTACACAGATACAACAACAACAACAAGAACTACAACCACAACTGCTGAGTCTACTGGAAGTAAGTCTCCTCCATCACAGTTACCAAACACACTGCCACCATAACTGTTACCACCACTTCCACTAACTACCATATATCCAGCATATTGGCAATGGCAATACTGATCACTAATCACAACTTACACTTGCGAAACGACAACGGTAAACCTTTATTCATAACCACAGCTACTAGTACTATTAATATTTACACTAAATGTGTCTTGACCAACATTACTAGCAAAGTACAGAGTTCCACCACCATTGTTATTATCACCTTTACAACTGAAATATACAGAAATATACAACCATGTATCAACGCCCAGTAAACACATGATTATCACCATTATCTATGTATTTATACAGGTACAAATGAAGTCTCAGCCTCAGATACCACACCTGCCGGAGGTATGTCACATACACCACCGTTTTAAACCACAATGCAACCATATAAACTTCCATCACTACCACTGACTACCATAACTTCCAACACTACTGTCACTGGCAACAGTAGGCACTAGAACCAATAACATTTGTCTCTATGTGATATTTGCTCAGAAATATTTACAAACACAACTACCACCATTACTAATGACAACCATAACTACTAGCACTATTAACATTGGCAACTATAAACACATTATCCACAATCTTTAACACTCGCACCATATATAATAGAAACCAATCTCTATGAATCCTACACTTGTCACCCAAATCCAGCCAGTGAACACGTCTACACTATAACTCACTGTAACCACTTACTGTGCTTACCATTAATACCTACAACCGTAACTACCTACCCACTCATTCAGTTTGTACAGGCATAGACCATGCACAATATACCGATACTACTGTAGCTAACACTACCGTCACCTTACCGTCATACCTGTTATCACTCGGAGCACTACAAATTGATGTACAGGTACTATCAGTATATTGTATTATCAATATCATAAGTCACCAATAATGTGGGTTACATCCAGATTATTCTTCACCGGTTGATCTTTTCCCCTATATTCACGACCTTTTATTTACTCTATAACTTCAGACAATTAGCAACACTACCATTACATGTTTTAGTAAACTTCACATAAAAGCTTTTTTTGCCCAAATTCCATCATGTGAAGTTTCTAATTTTATAATCTGTTAACTTCGATACTAGCGCAGTAATCATACACTGTAGAGACATCACACTAGTTGTTTTTCTTGCTGCGCCGGAGTGCCCCAAGGCTCAGCATATCTAACTTAACCCCCACTCTTGTTTTACATTATTGACCTTAGTTTGGTTACAATACACAGGAAAACTTATTTGCTTCTCACAATATTATTGCAAGGTCTGTTTAATTATTCTGATCACACACACACACTGTTAAAAATAAATTATAATGTACTCACAAAAAATATACATAATACTTATCTCATTGCCCTGTGTAACCCCTAATACTACTGACATTCACATTTAATATTCGGTACACAGATACTGCTTAAGCACAACAACAAGAACTACCAGCCTGGCTGCTGGGGTCACTGGAGTAAGTCTCCTCCATCACGATTTACCAAACACACTGCTTGCCGCAACTGTTACCACCACTCCCACTAACTACCATATATCCAGCATATTGGCAATAGCAATACTGATCACTAATCACAACTTACACTTGCGAAACGACAACGGTAAACCTTTATTCATAACCACAGCTACTAGTACTATTAATATTTACACTAAATGTGTCTTGACCAACATTACTA